AGGACTTTTCCGAGGATCCAGCAGTGCTTCTCTCAGATGGTGCCCACTGGAGGCTGGCTCCTGGGGCAGAAGAACTGAGTAAGGGCCTGACCCTGATCCAGAGGGGATCCTGCAGTCCGTTCTTCAGTAGCCATCCCCATCTCAGGATGGTAGCCACCCCGTCATCTACCTCTCCTCATCTCTTCAGCAGCAAGCCAAGGGGAAGAGGCATTGGGGAAGGGCAGTTGGGGGCCAGGCCCTGTCTTTTTTTTTGGTGGTACCTGGGGTCAAACTCAGGACACTGCACTTGCCAGGCAGGCACTTATGCCACTGATCTATATCCCCAGCCCTATGCCCTGTCTTAAACCTCTCCACTCACTTGCTCCTTCAGTCCTTATAGTGATCCTATAGGTAGCTACAATTCCTACTGAACAGATGAGAAGACTGAGGCCCAAGAGGCTTAAGAGACTGCCCAGCCTGACAGCCACAGAGTGCTGATGCTGGGGAAGAAATTCAACCCCCAGGCTGCAGGAAGCCCCCGGACATAGCGCTGATCAGCAGCTGGGGTCCACATCGAAATTGCCATCCCTCAGAACTCCCCGTCTGGTCATGTGGAAGTGGGGCTCCCTGATCTGATTCTGACCCACCCATCTCCAGCTCCCACCTCCCTGACCTCTCCAGTCCCTGACTCCTGCGCCTCCCTCTCCCCTGCGCCTCCCTCTCCGCTGCACCCTGCCATGGCCCCTGCCCACCCATCGGACCCTGCCGAGGAGCCCGGATGATGGGATGGCCCCTGTAATTGCAGCCGCGCTCCCCAAGCCGCGTTTGGTTATCACAGAGGGTGCAGACCTCGCTGCTCAGCCTCCTCTGTCCCAGGCCCTCGGGGCCAGCTCAAGAACGGAGGGAATTAATTACATTCCCATCCCCTTCTTTTAAAGTAGGGGAGCGCAGGCGCTTCCCGGGGAGGGGGTGGGTGAGCAGAGGCTGTGGAAGGGGGCCCCCACCCCCAAAACCAGCAAGCTTCTCCCCAGGGGCGGAAGGGAGGGTGAGGCTGGCCCCTTATTGATTTAGTCTGGTCCAGGCTGGGACTGATTTGGAGCAGGAGAGGAAAGGGGGGCATTTGCAGGGTGGGGATGGGTAGGGGGGCGGAAGGGACGGCTGTCACTCAGACTGACGGACAGCCCTGAGATTTGCCTTCAGATAAAACCTTACAGATGTGGAGGTCGGTATTGATTTTGAGTTAGTAACGGTAACGTACCAAGAAGTAATACATTAGTGAAAGCAAGGTCACCGGGAAAACGTAAAACCCACCCGGGGAGCGGGAGAGGCCTCGGCATTCTTGAGGGGAACGGATCACCGCATCAGGCGGGGGCTTCCTCAAGTTCAAAAGTTTGCAGGCCCCAGACCCGGCTGGGCCCTTCGCTGTGGGCAGTTGTTTCCTGCTTCTGTGGGCAAAGTGGCAGGCTGGGAGGGGGCCACGCGGGCCTCAGGGGTGCCCGCCCCTGCTTCCTGGGGGGATTTGGAGGGAGGCGCTGTGGGGGACCTGGGAGACCTGGTGCTGATCTCAGCTCTGCCGCTTCCTGGCTGGATGAGCTGCTGTAATTTCCTGGTGCCTCAGTTTCCCCATCTGCAGAATGGGAATAACAGTAACCCCTTAGCCCGAGAAGCCACTGGGGTAAACAGAGTATGGCACAGGCAGGGTGTCCCCCTCTGCCTCTCTTCATCTGGGTGCCTGTCTGTGAGCTTGGAAGCTGCTCCGCTGGAGACGAGTGGGATGACACGGAAGCCCTTTGATCTGAGAGCCTGCAGGGACTCTGGGAGAGACTGGGCCAACACCACAGCCCATATTCGCACCTACCCCAGATGTGGATTTGATTTGCTGTTCCAGGGCAAATCTCATCGAGCAAATCCCATTACAGGCAAAGCTCCCTGGGCCCACGCTGTTTCTGAGCTGTCACCTAACTGCCAGGGTCCAAGGCCTCTGAGCCCAGGGCACTGTGCAGGCTCAGTCTGACAAATGCCTGGAGGGTGCCTGGCAGCTCCCACAACTTCTCTCCTGGGAGCTGATCTTCTTGCTGTGGCTCAAACCCACGGGGTGTGTTCCTGCCCCAGGGCCTTTGCACATGCAGATTTCCCTGCCTGCAGGCTCTTCTGCTGTGGCTTCCCAAGGCCAGTTGTTTACACTTGCTGGGGATCACTTTTTTGGGCCTCACCTGACCCCGCCTACCCACTCACCATGCCCTTTTATTTTCCCTCTATATTATCTATCAGAACCAGAAGTTGTGCTGTTCATCTGTTCCCTTGTTTGTCATCGGTTTCTTCCCTGAGACGGGCAACTCTTGAGGGGCACGGAATTGGAATCCTCAGTGCTGGGTCCCCGTGTTTAGCGTCTGGCACATAATAAGTGCTCAGTAAACGTTTGCTGCAGGAATTCAGCAGAGCTTTGCCGAGCGTCTGTACACAGTGGGCATGATTCAGGCACCAGGCCAGCAGCATTGGACAGACCACGCCGTCCTTCCCTCAGAGTTCACTGTCCGGCGTATGTGGAGCCCGGCACAGAGTACCACTCCACAGAATGTTTGTTGAATGCGTAACTGAATGGATGAAAAGTCTCCTTAGGAAATGCCAGGTTGTTTGTTATAGTTGGAGCGTGAAATGCGGCCTAGAAAAGAATAAGGGGAGCTGGGCCAGGCGGGCAAAGGGCAGGCCACAGGCAGCCTTGCTGAGTGGTGCTGAGGAGCCAGGGTTAGCTCTTGATTAATGGGGTAGGTGTGTTGCAGTGGATCAGTACTGGGTCTGTGCATAGCACCCAGCCTGCCTGGAAGCACCCTTATCCCCTTCTTGGACCATTCTGGTGCGGCATCTCGGGGTGGTGTGCGGGGTCAAACTGAATCTCCACAGAGTGGCAGCTTCTTCCTCTGTGTGTTAGGGCCCAGGCCTCCTTTGCGGGGAGCAGCTGTGTGTTTGTGGGGTAGGACGAGCGATGGGTCCTGATCCCAGGTGAGATCACCTGGGATCCACTGAGGTGGAAAGAGGACTCTAACCTGGGAACCCAGCACACGACCTAGTGAGAGAGCAGAAGTTCCTCAGTTTACCCTGAGATCCTCGGCTCCCCTTGCAGTTGCTCAGGCTGGGAAGAGCCCATCTTGATGGCCAGAAGCCAGGGTCGCCGCCCTATGTCCAACACTCCCCCACAGCCACCCCAGCATCCTGCTGTTGACCCTGCTATGACAGAGATCTCAAGGGCGGAGAGCAAGTTGGGAAGATAATGTGACGTTGCCCACAGTGGCCAGACGCTGCGGGCCTGGCTTCTGCCTCTTTTTCTCTTCTGTAATCTTCCATCTTGGGGCAAGGCGATGGGCACAGCCCATCCCGTCCCTCATTCCTCACCTCGCTACAGTGGCCCCTGAGTGAGCTGCCATCCCTGGGGTGAGACCCTGCAAAAGGTTCGCAGGCATTGGTTGCGTATTGGAGTCAGTCCTGATGTTTCCCTGGCAGGCTGCAGTGGGTGAACCCGGCTCCCACATGTATGCTGTGAGAACTGGACCTCAGTTGTCTCCATCTGAGAGATGGGCATCCTGCAGTCAAGGCTAAGTTGCTGAGCCAGGCTCCCCGCACAGCCTACCCCACCCAGGCGGCACCTGTCCCCAGCCACCCTCTGAGTCGGGGCCCATTCTCTTCCCCTCTTAGTCACAGACGCCTGGGGACACCCTTCACTGTCATGCAGCTATGAAGTGTCACACAGCTCCCATCTCCGCCCACCCCTGTGACTTGGCCTGGGTGCCCCTGCAGGACACATCCATGCGGAAAGGTCAACAACTTCAGAGGGACCTGGTGGGTACCCTCTGTGGTACCCTCAGCCTGTGCTCTCAGGTACAAGGGTGGGGGCATTGGCTGGCATCGCCAGGCGGTCTCCAGGGCCCTAGGCCCTGTAGGCCAGCTCCAGAAGGACCCACCTCTCCCAGCCTCCTCCGTCATCCCCCCAGGGCTGCTGCCCACTCTGCCTGTCATTACTCTTGTGTTCTGAGGCCTTTGGTGCCTGTTCCAATGAGACTCAGGCTTTTCTCTGCCCCACCCTGCCTCTTTCTCTCTGAAATCCTCCAGTGCTCAGCTTGAAGCCTGGGGCTAGAGTTAACCACTGATGCCTGTTTGTTGGATGAATAAAGTGAAAACCCTGCTACCCTGATACCAGGTTCTCTAGTTTCTAGAGACAGGCCCCACGTGTCAGTTGAAGATGCCACCTCTAGTGATGGACTTTATTTGCCCAAACTGGGCCACACAGGGCGGGGGTGATGGTCACACACATGAGGGAGCTGGCAGAACCAAAGCATGTCTGGGGAGCTTTTACAAAAGCATTGACTGTGTCCTTTGGGGTGGCTGAGGCAGAAGCTCAAAGCCCAGAGAAGTTGATTGGGGCAGGGCTGTAGCACAGGAAAGGAGGTGGAGCCAGGCAGCTGAGGCCGACTCTTGTGTTTATGTCGGAAGATGGGCTCTCCCTGGTCCATCAGGGGAAAATCAGCTCCCTGCCTGATGGGAGAGACTCGGCCTAGTTAGTTCAGCGCAAGTACACCTGCATGCATGTGTGCACTCGTGCCCACACTGACTTGGCAGCCAGCTTCCTTCTAGTTCATTCATGCCCATGTGCATCCATGCATGCATTACCCATTCATCAGTAGCAGGCACAGAGCGCCCCTTGTCCAGCTAGTTCATTCATGCCCACATGCATGCGTGCATTCTTTCATGTATTTGCTCTTTGACTCAGCAGCAGGTACCTGGGGGCACACAGAGCTGCCCTTAGAGCTCTCTGTGGAGGGAGACCCTACCCTCAGGGTGCAGGCATGATAACCACTAATGACTAGCAATGACCACAGCCATGGGGTGTCACAAATCAGGTAAACTGAGGTCCCGGGTGCTGCGGGGACCCCAAGGGAGCCACCCCAGCAGAAGGCTGTCTGGTCCTCGATTGCGCTGGCATCTCAGGGCCTGTCCCCTGGGCAGGGCACTTACCATCTCTCCTGCAGGTTATGAGCATCTTGAGCAACCCCAGCGCGGTGCCGCCACAGCCGCAGGCTGACTTCTCCATCTCCCCTCTGCATGGCGGCCTGGACTCCGCCTCCTCGATCTCGGCCAGCTGCCAGCGGGCCGACTCCATCAAGTCGGGAGACAGCCTGCCTACATCCCAGTCCTACTGCCCGCCCACCTACAGCACCACCGGCTACAGCGTGGACCCCGTGGCTGGCTACCAGTACGGCCAGTACGGCCAGAGTGAGTGCCCCCTCCCCCCTCCTCCCTGCCCCTAATCCAAAGGCCTCTTACTATTGCTGTAGGCCCAGTGGCGCCAGGAGGTGTGTCTGGGAAGTGGGCCCATTTCCCAGGTGGAAACTGAGGTCCACCAAGAGGACAGAGTTGACCTCAGATGAATCTGAGCTGGGCATCATACCCAGATGACCTGACCAGGGCCTGGTGGGTACCCTTAGGCTCCTATAAAAATAGAATTGGGGTCACAGGTGCCATTTAGCATTTTATAGTTGCCACATTTTGAAACAAGAACAACTGGAGTTTTTACTAAAATTTTATTTAATCCAGTATATCCAAAAGGTGATCACCTCAACACGTAATTCACATAAAATTACCACACTAGCCTGTGTACTCTCTTTCACACCGCCTCTGACGTCCCGCCTGTGTCTTACCCGCCCAACCCATTCTAATTCAGACAGTAAGTGTTCATCAGAAGTACTGGATCGGTATTTAAATTTCATACAGTTTATAATTGAGGACGTGAATTGGCACACCAAAGTTGTTCCAAATAGACTTGTAAGTTTTCCAACCATGAAATAACTAAATTGGAGATCAGTTTTAAAATTTAAATTAGATGAAGCTAAATAAACAGCTGCCTTGGGGCTCCCTGATTGGGCGAGGTGCAGGTCAGGTACTTGGTAGCCACTGCAGTGGGTGGCGCCCTGGGCACAGCCCAGTGATTCGGCCCTGTCCTTCACATCTGCCCCGGTGTGAAGGGAAGATGTGTGTGGTGCTGTCTCCTCAGCCTCAGTTTCCCAGACTGCTGTTGCCTCCCATGCTCACCCAACTGCTGTCCTCCTAACACCTGGCCTTGATTCGGGGGCAGCAGATACTCAGCACAGAGGCTGACGAGGCTGGCCGGGTCAGCAGCCAGGTGGCCCCAGACAGGACAGGGAGCCAGAGGTCAGCAGGCTCCCTCCCACCCCATCTCCCAGCGGAGGCCTCACCTGCTGGTGTCAAACTAATCAGAAGTGGGCGGTAGTGCTGCCTCCCTGCCGGAGGGCGTCCTCCTTCGCCAGCAGCCTGGCCCAGCCTCACTGACCTCTGTCCCTGTGCCCCCCTGACCTACTCCTCCTCCCCTGG